GTACAGCAGTCACAGAACAATTTTGGATCAGAAAGAGTCAACAGCAGTCACAGGCTATGGTTGTCATGCAGTCTGCGGTTTTCACATCCAGTCATTGGCAGACAAATAAACCATTATAATACAATAAACTAATACTATCTGGATCGCAATATAGGTAGGTGCATGGAACGGACTCACTTTCWGAGAATCTTGCAGGTGATGATGAAGATCTGGCTATGGCAGATGATACCCTTATCTCACCAATTTCTCCCAGATATTCCTCCTGACAATCCCACGCACAGAACTGCTTCAAACTTGTTGATCCTCCTCAGGATCCTGTAGCGCTGCACACCCTCAACTCAGATGCACTGTATCTGGTCCTGTGGCGCCCAGTATGCCAACACCAAAATATGTCCCCACAGTGCCTGGTAGCCGCTGATGCTAAAAATAGCCTTAGATGGGGTTATTTCTTCAGGAGATTGATATGCAGTGTCAATCTCTACCAGCGCTACCCAGGGATGATGCCGCTCAGGGTTCCCTGATGTCCTCAGGGGTAATTCGCTGCATTACCCTCAGGGTTGGCTATGGCGAATTAGCGTTGTACTCGCCACTTCTTGACAAGCGCCCTGACAGGCTCAGTGCGCTTGCTCAGTACTACCACTGAACACTTGAATCCACCGCCGAAAGTCTTCTTCCCTGCTGACTCAGTACTGGGGAAGATGGAATCGCCATGAAACTCTCGCCAGTATGTTGCCAGATGAAGAAGATGCCTCGGCGCGCTCAACCCTCAGTGTTCCAAATCCAATCTCGCTCTGATACCAACTGCTATGAACTTGGTTGTCTGACGAATTTTATCGCCACTCACACACAAACAATCTCATACATGCCCATACATGCATAAGAGAAGTAGTCCAAACTGTACACAGGGGAAAATAGGCAGCGGAAGGCATTCATGCACAGATGGGGAGAAGACACAGTGTTTCTCACTCTCTGACACAACTCACAACAACCAATCACAAGATAGAACCTGCGAAGATCACAATTGAAATTCACACTGATGATGAGCCACTCAAACAATTATCGTAACAGAGTTTGTTCCAGTATCTCGCCACTCTCAGTACTCACATCCCACTCTCTATCCTACACCCGGTTAGTAGCGCCACATCAGAACAGCCTCCCATAGGCCAGCACAAACCACCCTGATGAAGAACAGGTCTTGCGATGAAGTCTTCAGTGCCGATGGACAACTTTGACGAAGGAACAGGCAGCTATGGCTGCCACCACCCACGAGTACACAGTGTAGAGCCTCGGTATAGCCCGGCCAGACGCAGATACCCCAAAGGGTAGATGCGCTGAGGATGCCCCAGCTATGGCAGACTCAGACCGGGCCGGCTATGGTTGCTGTCAACGGCGAAGTCTCAGGATGCCGCCTGCAGACCGTCACCGCCACCAACTTGCTTGGCTTCTCCAACACTGCTTCGCGAGAAATGAACTGCCCAAAAGTCCTGAACCGATGGGCCTAACCTATCTATAGACTACGCTAGACCTAGACCGGATTGACTGACCGACCGGTACCGTTGCTGTTTCGGCCTCTCGGCCTCTACCAGACCCGGCTATAGGCTCTAGGACCGTCTATCAGCATAGGCCGCTTAGGGCCTGTCTGTCCTAGGGGTAGCCCGGGCTTGCTATACGCAGTTAGGGTAGCTGTAGGAATTCGGGTTAGTACTGGGCCTATATTTTCCCAGATTTACAGATATGTCCCTCACGAATTTCCCTACAGGCAGGTCTCTCGGTTAGCCCTCAGCCAAACAAAATTACAAATCTAACCCTACCGGTTAGTGTACAGCCTCGCAGGCAATCTCGGCAGTAGAAATCAGCAAGTCATTGCATCAAGATAACAGCACACAGGTGAGTATGCACAGCACCACAGAACAGCCAGCAGGTTAGCCAACACGACATCAACAGACAAGGGTTAACCTTCCTTTCTCTCTACAGCTATCACATCTGCATAACTAATGCAATTGAGTACAAGGGTGGGCAAGCAACTCTGCCAGCACACAATGCACAGTCAACCTCACCCATAGCAGCGTGGTATGCCACGTGGCACCCCTGGCATGCCAACACAGCAGCTCTAACGAGTCTGCCACGTCAGCATCAAGAAACAAGTTGGGGAATGCCTACGTCAGCACTACACAGCCTGCTATACTATTCACACTGGAACTCCTTCAAGGTGGAGCGCAAGTCAACAGGTAAGCACCATATCAAACAATACCCATCAACACAAATGCCACGTCAGCACAATACCAATCGCACGTCCAGAAGTCTTCAGTGCAGTCACGTCATCATCTTCAAGGGACGGCTGCTCGCACGTGCATTACTACAATATCTAGACTTGCGGTATGACCGCGCCCGTTAATAAACGCGTTTCATATTGCACGTGCGGCACCTCCCACTTACCTGGCTGCCACGTCAGCACCTGACAGCAGAGCAGATCGCGATGAAGAGTTGCTTTGATACCAAATTGCAATGAACCCAGTCTGTTAGGTACTCAGAAGTCGTCAATCAACAGTTGTTTCAATACCTGTCTGAAAGTCTCCAGATTGTGAAGTGATATCTCGAGCAGTATCTCATTATCCAAAAAGAGAAGAGTGTGGAGGGAGAATAGACAAAGGAGAGGAAGAGAGAATACACAGACACAGAACCCTTTAGATCCCTCTCCTTCTCCGGGCTTCTTTCCAGACTACATCATCAATGATAATAAGAATAATCCTGGTCATCTACAATAGTGCCACGTGGCACTTTATCTCTTGAAGACTTTGAAGACACAGCAGATTTCCAGTGACGACGTCAACCACAGGTGAGTACCCGATTCTCTACATCCACAGTCCCAATCTTCCTCTTCCTCGCAACCAGTCACCTCATGTAGGCAGAGTGGACAATGCCATGTCAGCAACCAAGACAGGTGGCACACACCACATCAACAAAGTAGACCAATAGCAGCGCCACATATACCAGGAGCAGCGCTACATATACCAGAGGCAGCGCCACGTCAGCATGCCCCGTAGACCAGAGGCAGCGCCGCGTTAGCATGCCACGTAGACCAGAGGCAGCGCCACATATACCAGAGGCAGCGCCACATCAGCATGCCACGTAGACCAGAGGCAGCACCACATATACCAGAGACAGTGCCACGTCAGCATGCCGCGTAGACCAGAGGCAGTGCCACGTCAGCATGCCATGTAGACCAGAGGCAGCCCCACATATACCAGAGGCAGCGCCACGTCAGCATGCCATGGCGCACCGAAGAAGCACCAGCGTGCCGCCTCCACCTTGTGTCGTCATCCGCAACGCGTGTGCACAGCCAGCATGAAGCCACCGTTGTCAAAGTCGAGCCAGGGTCATAGCAGCATAGCAAGACTGAATGCTTGACTCGCTCGAGGCCTCGGGTGCTTTCCCCCAGTCGTCCAGATTGACTCACATCTCAAGGCCCGGATTGTACAGTTGCAGGCTTCTCCCTTGGACCTGATGCTGTCTGGGTACCTGCATACAAACAAGTGTGTGTGCTTGACCTGCGGCCTGGGCTAGGTACCTCTGGACTTTGGCTGTTGGGTGGACCGACAGTTGACCAAAGTCAACTGTCACACGCCCAGGCCCTGAATTCGTGAAGGGCCTTTTCTGCCCTTGTTTGGCCTGGGCTGAGGGCGGCAGGGCGGAATCCGTGATCTGCACAAGCTCTGTTTTTCCTTAGAGGATTGTAACGCTCATCACACTGGCACTTAGGAATGTATCCAGCCATTTTCACGGCCGAATCCCTGTTTCCATTTTTTTTCTTTTTTCTTTCTTTTTCTGGAATCTGACAGCGGAATCCGTGATCCGCTCAAGCTGTGTTTCCTGAGAGGATTGTGATGCTGATCACACTGGCAGTTAGAGGAATGTATCCAGCCATTTTCACGTCCGAATGCGTGTTTCCATTTTGTTTTTTTTCTCGTCTTTCTGAGATCTGACAACGTGGCCATGGGGCTGAGATGCCGTCACTGATGGCACACTCACACTGCCACTTCCAAGAATGTATACAACTGCAATCATGGCCAAAGCTTTGTTTCCTTTTTTTTCTTTTCTTCTTTTGTGAGTTTCACGCCCACAACTTTTTTTTTTCTTTTTTTTTTCTTTTGTTCTTTCCGTGAGAATACCAGGAGGATAATACCCAACTTTTATTCTTCTTTTTTTTTTTTTTTTNTTCTTCTTTTTTTTTTTTTTTGTTCTTTACCAGGAGGAAATTCCCCAACTTCTATTCTTCTTTTTTTATTGGTTCTTTCCGTGAGAATACCGGGAGGAAAATGGAGTGGGAGCCAGGCTCGGCAAAACTCGGAGCGCAGTGAAATTCAGGCTCGACAAAAACAGGCTTGGATGTACTAGTGGTTAAACCACCCCTGAAGTCGCGCCCGTTAACGCTACGCGGTTTTAGGAAACGTACGGGCCACTACAGGAGTGCCCAAATTCATCCAACTAGAAACGTTTCTACTCTATTTTTTTCCGCGGCCGATAGCTGGGCCAAGTACTGGTGGTTAAAAAAAAATAAAAACAAAGATGCGCTTCGGCCAACTTGGGGGGAACTGGCCCGGTTGACAGCTGGTAGGACCGGTCCGGTTCCAGTTGGGGGAGGGCCGACCGGCCCTACCGGGTTTCCAGCACTGATTGAAATGGTTGGCAAGGCACTGACTGGACGTAACCCAACGCGGTTCGTAAGGGCTACAATCCATTGGTACTGTGCTTGTGCTATGCTAGCATAGCCTTTTGTATGGGTAGGTTTGTGCGAACTTGGCATTAGTGGGACCTTCCCCAAAGAATTCCACTTTTCAGGAAGTTTGTTCGATGAGATTTCAGAAGAACTCAACCTGGGTCTTTTGTAACTTGATGGGTTTGCTTATCCACTAGACAGGGAGGCTTATGATGAATGAAACATAGTCTTGTATATCTGAACCCAGGTTGTTTTGAATGTGTGGTAATGGTGTCGGTTGCAGGTACCGTGAGTTAGCAGAGCATGTGGATGAGGCGCTTGCTTTTATGGCTGCATGCGGGATAGATGCGGACCACCCTGTCATGAAAACAACAGAATTCTACACATCACATGAGGCCCTCTTGCTCCCGTACGAGCAATCACTGACACGTTTAGACAGCACAACAGGAAGGTGGTATGACTGCTCTGCTCACATGGTATGGGTTGGTGAACGCACCCGTCAGCTGGACGGTGCACATATTGAATTCCTTAGAGGTGTCAGCAACCCTCTTGGTGTGAAGGTGAGTGAGTACCTTGATGAATGCTTGGGTTTGTTGACTGCATGAGGAAACTGGTAGGGTGTTTGCCAAAATTATTGTGCCAATGTAAGGTAAAGTAAGCGTAAGCCGGAGGTTCGATAACCACCAGTCCAACATAGAATTTACTCGTTTATGAGTACCGGGCCAATATCTACAGTGCCGAGGCCCGGGAAAGGGCTACCACCTTCATTTTTCAAAGGGCTGCACTGTAGATTTCAGGGTCGGCAAAATGCATTTTCTGGTTCGTCAATTTAGCATTGGATGGACTGGTGGTTTAAACTATTGCTGTTTTCATGCATTAATTCTGCAGCTTCAAACCATTGTTGTTACCATGTCGTGCTGCAGCAGGCGACGATTGCCTCTCTGATATAAATCAGGTGAAGAATTGAAGCTATTCCTGTCTGCCATGGTAAAGAATTGAAAACATGCTTTAAAGCTTGCGTGCCTGCTTGAGCATTTGACAAACTAACACCATCCATTTCAAAAATAATTTGTCCTTGGGCAACACGGGCAATCCAACCTGTAGGGTTTCCTTTTTCTTTTCCCATCCTTACTTCTGTAGGTTTGCTGGTAATTGAAACAGATTCCACCTTTCGCAGTAGCCGACGCAGATCCCAGGGTTCGATCCCTAGTCCTCACTTCACCTGTGTACAGTACCTGAGTCGACCCTGAGCGTTGAACCCATGACTTGTGTAGTCGCAGTAGTTGGTAGGCTGTCGTAGGTCCGTAGGTTGTAGGGGTTCGATCTGAAGACCTGTCATTGTAGGTCTTAGCAGGTCCTAGGAATCGTAGCTGTAGCCCCTCCAAAGGGGCAAAGTCGTAGCTGCTGTAGTCCTGAAAGGTCAAGGTCGTAGCTGCTACGGTACCGAAAGGCCAAGTCTACGGACTTCCGGAAGGAAGTGGCCTTTCGGAGCTTGCTCACGTTTAGACAGGCAAGTGGGCAAGTGGCGAGGCCAGCTGCAGCACGTCAGCAGTGCGACTGCAGCGAGTTGGCAATACGTCCCCATGCAGTCAGTGGTATCAGTCCCAGTCAGTCAGGGTCCAGTCAGGCAAGTACCGTGTGGGACTGTGTGTACCCAGGGCATGGGAAAGGGGCAGACCAACGAGCTACAGAAGTATAAAGCAAGAGGCAGCGACCAGTCAT